TCTCTACGCTCAGTTCCCACTCGTTCGTTGAAGCGAGCGTGTCGTTGCGCTCATGCCCTCCTCTTCCCCCCACCAAGCGAGGGCGGGCGGTAACCCGAAGCGTCTGTGTATACACCTCGAACAAACGCTTCGTGGTATCTTCCCAGGTTGCATTTCATGTCGGGGTTTCATAACACTCTCGACCCCGTCTCGTTCTCAGTCAACATTATTCTCCTCCTGCTACTCTTAGATTGGGGTGCATTCAATCGGAGCATATATATCCAAGTAAGGAACCCGTTTCCAATGTGGGGGGCCAGTGAGTCACTACGGCAACAACAATGAACTGTGTATATATCATTCTCGGGTATTAATACCACCACCACAATGCAACTCCCTCAGATTATACGAGATTGGAGGTGAAATTAAACCCCAGTCTTTTGTCACCAATTTTGTGGATTGGGGTATGAAAAAAGGTTTATTTAAGCTCATTTTTAGAAGCAAATTGAGATAGCCATCTCACATAGCCAGCAGATTCCAGGCTTTCATGCCGAAAAGCCAAAATTTGAAGAGTTACTCATTCTCAAACAAGCCTTAAATGCTGCATTGAATTTCTGATATTTGTATTTATTTTTCTCTGAATCACATCTTTGTGTATTCATTTTGTGCCAGAGACTTTGGGAGAATAGCTCATTTTTCAGAGATAGTTCTATTCATTTATATTTGAAGGAGGAGGGATTTTAGTTTATGAATGAAATTCAATATTTTTTGGTTTCATGTCAAACAGTCAGAGCCACTTTTATTTTCTATTCAAGAGAAATTAAATAAATTTTACCTAAAAGATTTTTGTTCAAACAACCTCGACAAGGAAAAGGAAACTTATTCCACAATCATTAATACACTTTAAATCTTAATCACTTATCTGTATTTACCTATAATTAAATGATTTGATTTATTTTATACAAAAACGTGCAAAGGACAAAAGTTCAAGGCTATTTGTATCTTTTAATGGACTATATTTGTGTTTCACTGAAATACAATGTTATATGCTGAATCGATTTCTATCTATCCAATCATTCTATGCCTTTATGAAACTGGCTTCATCTAGCGTTTTTGGGGTCTAGCCAAGGAAGCCAAGAAGTATATCTCTTTGGTCTGGTGACCTTCCCTATCTTTACATGTATTAATTTCTTAATGATTTTCCCTTGTGTTTTTGCCAAGTGTTAATTGCTAGGTAGACCCATCTATTCAAATTTGTGTGTCTATACTTCATCCTGTGCAGCACTTTTGGTACTTTGTGTTATATTGGTATATATGTAACTTTAAATTATTTGTTTACCATATAGGGCACGGCCATTTATCCTCTTCAAATATACAATCAAAATTCAAAGAGGGTTATAGTAGTCATGAAGAGTAAACTGAGCTCTGTTAAAGCAATTGAGCTGTGTGTGGCTCTCGGAGGGTCGCTTAGTCCCGCATAGCATTCTTCACGTCAGGTCTCTTTACTGTCGGGATCACGATGATATAACACTTCATTTGTCCAGTTCTCAGTCAACAAGCTCAGGTTATATCTCGCATCTTTGGAATCGCTCATAGCGGCGGTGTTCACACTGAGTACTTAAACCCATTGCCTAAGGGATCCGTTAGCAGGTCTGTTCAGACTGTAGGAAATTATACAAAAGTTGGGTAATCAAGAAACGTTGTATTAAGAATCATCCTATAGAGAAACTAATCTTTAATAGGTCAATTGATATGACAGCTGGCCAATCATCTGCGAGCGCTCACGATAAGCCCCGCCCAGATTTTTGTATGATATGACGTTCAGACTATAATTAGTAGATATTTTATAATATAAATTATTACTTTAATTTAGTTAATTGGTCTAGAAAAAAAGAGACAAACTGAATGCTTTAGAGAGAAATATAAAGTAACAAAATTCATAACTTCATCACATGAGATTACTTGAAAAATTACATTTTGGTTTAGATTAGATTTATCATCTAACCGCAGCTTTAGCTGTGAATGCTTTCAAGAAATTCTTAATGTATATCGTGGGCAAATCTATACCATTATGTGCAAATGTAAACCCAGCTTTTTGTAGTAGATGGGAGAATGAGAAGGCAAGTTATGAAAGGGGGCACAGGACGAAGGGGGGGGGGGGGTGCAGATATCCTCTGTGACAAACTTTGATGAGTTCTATTGCACTTTGTATCTATGTATGGTATTCTACTTATGACAGAGAGCAAGAAAAAGGGGAATGTGGTGAAAAGTTTTATTTAGCTAGGCTGCACGTGCCTACACGCTGTATTTGATCATCCCAATTATTGCCAATTTGAAGGTGAAATATCTGGTTTTGTGAAGCTCTTTGTTGTCTGGGGAGGATGGGCAGCAGATATGAATAGTATTTACGTGATATTTTCCTTATATTTCATAGCCAAAAATACTGCGATGTAATGTCCATTGAAAAGTTTCATTCTAAGTAGCTACAGGAGAGCTCTTTGAAGAAAAAAATTTAATGTTAAAGTCAGATAAAAACAGTTAAGTGAGGAATGTCACTTATACACTCAAAATTACAAGAGAACTGGAACAAAACAGCACATATATAATACTAGATTTGTATCTTTCTTTCTCCTGTCAGAGCCAGTTTAAGTTTTCTCTGTTTTCTTTTAAATTTTAATTGTAGTCCCCTAACTTCTACCATTACCAATGCATGTTGTAATCAGGGATATGCATTGCATATTTAAATCAGTACTCTCTATTGGAAAGGTTTGTACCATTTGAAGTGTGGTGTATTAAATTGTTAGTTTTAATGTACATCTTTTTTAGTTGAGAAGTCGAGCTGTGTTTACGGCCAAGTATAGTCCCTGTTCTTCCCCCCATCTTCAAGTTTTTGTGACATGTTATGTGACATGTTTGATGGAAGCAACATCTGAGGGTTAGTTACTGGATAGTAAATGCGATGTGTGTGGTTTAGGAGAGTGTTTGTGACATGAGGTCTTTATTTCTATCGACTGGGTAGTGACATTATGTCAATTCTGCTCATATTTGGAACAGTATCTCTATGATCATGGAGTGGTGTTGGGGAGATATTATTTCTTCGTACAGAAAAAAGGAGGAGAAAAATTAACAGTGAAGAAAGTGAAGAAAGGGAAGAGGGAGAAAAAAAGACATATGCTGGAGAGGGACTGTGCAAGAGATGGTTGGATGATGAAGGGGTGAATGTAGAGAAAGAGAACAGCAGGAAAACAAGAGAGGGAGTAGTAAAGAATGAGTAGTCAGGAAAGGAGAGAGAGGGGGATAAATATTATGAGAGAGAGAGAAAAGAAAGTGGAATGATAGAGAGAACGAGAGAGAAAGGAAAGAGAGAAAGAGAGAGAGAGAGATAAATCAATTAAAGTCCCAAAATAAGAAAGGTAGAAAAATTAATAAAGAAAGCAAGAGCAAAAGAGAGGAGAGTACTGATAAACAGAGATATAAATAGTGAACAAAAGAGGGAGTAGTAAACATAACATAGATGGCCTGCAAATCAATACAAAGGGGGAAAGGCTAGAATAGAATACAAGGCATGTGAAGATTACATCATGGCCATATAATCATCAAAACAAACCTATATTCTCTTTGATCTATTTTAAGCCCATCCCCATTAGCTGAATAAGAAAACTCAGAGAGCCATAGTGTGTGGGGAATCACTTTGTGGATTCTGTTTTCGGCATCAAAAGATGACAAAAATCCTGCCTCAGATATTGAGATGGTTTCTCCAGATTCCTTTAATATCCTTGCACAACTAGTCATTCCAGTCCTGTGCTTCATGAAAGCTTACAGAAAATGAGCCCTTCTTTCTCTGCATCCTCTCTAGATCAATCCCACAGCTGAATCTTTTCATACATTACCACAATTTTCGTCACACTGTTACAACTGTGCGCGCATGGCTTGTGCATAGCTTTCATTGATGGCGTGTGTCTCGACATAAGATTTTGCTCCAGTGAGAATTGCTCTGGGCTTTACTTTGTTAGAAGTAAAGAATTAGTGTTAGGGTTGTGATTAGGTTTAGGGTTAGGGCTAGCATTGTTATAGGGTTAGGTGTAGTGCTGGGTCCAGGGTTGGAGTTGGGAATTCAGTAAGTGTAGGAATTGACTGCAAATCAGTTGTCACAGGAGCGAGTGCTTTACAACCGTTTGTGCAGTGCTTTAAGGGTGGTTCGCACCACTTGCGGTGGTGCAACCGGGGCAGTGATGACACTCCCGTAATCGCATTGAGCATCCTCCAGATCAGTGCGAAGGTTGTGAATATGAAAGATGAGGCTTTGGTGCCCAAGTCATCTGATCTCTTACCGACAGAGATCAAAGAAAAGGGAGGGTCGTCTGGAAAGCAGATACTCCTTGTTGTCTCTGGATATCACCCTAGAATGCAGGCATCCTGGCACTTTGGGTCAAAGGTCAATTTTGGGAAGAATATCCGCAAAGTACACTTGACAAGCGATTTACGTTATTGCCAGGTTATTTGACGCTTTGACCCTAATTCAACTTGTCTACAAGCAAAGGCTACAATATTAGTCATCCATTACTTAGTTTCGATTATGATAAACTACATCCATGAAACATAAGGACTGTTATCTTCATAAGCAAGAAGTCGTTGTTTGTATAGGCCTACAGACTAAGTTATGTCTTTGTCAAACTATAATCAAATAACATACATCCTGCTCAAGGAATTATTTACATTTTTCTGAATAGGTTCAGTTTTATAAATTTGTTACTGAAGATAAAGCAATTGCCACCCTCCCCCCCCCCCCCCAAAAAAAAAAAAAATTCAAGTCCCCTGCAAAATCATTCTCAATTAATAATCAATTTAAGCAAGTCCCCCCCCCCCCCAATAAAAATCATTGTGTTGAACCATGGCTGGATGAATTTCTCAATTCTGATGTGGCTCTGAAGATAATTAGTTTAGAAATCTCCCTCCCATATTCAGCTAATAGGTTATTCCCTCACAAATACCCTGTTTTATAATATTCTCTAATATTAACCACTGCCATTCAACTAAATTGCATATTCATTTTATTCTCTTTCTTTTCCCTTGCAGATGTCCCAACAACCATGACCCCTCTTCCTCCGACGCAGTTCTTCATCGTTCCACAGGATTCTTACATTACAAAAAGAAGCGTGGATCTAGAATGCAAGGCCGGTCCCTCTCCCAATGTCTACTTTATATGCAATGATGAGAAGATAGCTGATGGCAGGACACATTCTATTGGTACCTTTGATGAATACTATGAGGATATTAGACATATAGCCTTATGTAAGTATTTCAAATACATCATTGTGTGACATTACTATATTATTTATTAATTAAGCAAATATTAAGTTGGATGTCTTATGATCTAAAAAGACATACATGTATAGGGATATTAGACGCATCATGAAATGTTTAGAAGGTGTTAAAGGTGCTGTTGAATATTCCTTTAGATTTGACAAAAATCAGATTAGATCTTGTATGAAGAGCCAAAGGAACTGTGCCAACAAGTAAAGATAATAATAATAATAATAATAATAATAGCCTAATAATAGTCCACTCCAAATTTTATTAAACCGAAACGGAAATTCTTTGATTGAAATATTTCTAAAAAAAAAAGACCCAACATATTTAAAGTTGAAAGAGTTTTCCACTTTAACATTGCATTGTGCGAATTCATTCTGGAACCAAATTATTCTTAACTCTTTTAATCAATTCAATAACTTTCAATGGTCAGTTTAAATTGTTTGTAGCTGTTACAAAATGGCTACTTTTCAAGTATATTAGGGTATTGGTTGCTATGATGAACAATCCTCTGACAACCAGATTAACCTTTATTTAAATAGTTAACATTAGATTTTGTGTCAAACTTGCTTGTATGCACAAAATTCGAATCCATCACCCCGAAAGTGCATGAGAGTTGACCATTCCTAATATCCTAAAACGAAACCTACTTCTGAAAATGAGGTTATCAAATTCATTTCAAATGGATAATATCCCCCTACTTTGATGTTCATGATAAGAATTTCAAAAAAATGGTGATTAATTTGTGCTTGGGATAAATAGATTAGTTTGAGGTCATACAGCAATCAATCCTTCATTTGGCCTTTAACCCATTAATTAACGTTCGCGCGTCACTGATAACAAATTAATTAAGCGGAGGTGTGATCTGATTATGATCGCATTCATATTTTTCATATCAAAATTTTGGAAAGTTTTGGGGATATACGATGATACTTTTGGGGGAAGAGAAGATTTGATGAAGCATTTAATTGGTTCCATTCTGTTTTTTTTCTTCTTCATTTGGCCTTTATTCCATTAATTACCATTCACGCATCACTGATAACAAATTATTTAGGCAGAGGTGTGATCTGATTATTATCGCATTCATAGTGTTCATGATATCAATATTTAGGAAAGTTTGGGGGATATACGATAATGCTTTGGGGGGGGGAGAGAGAAGATTTAATGGAGCATTTAATTGGTTGGATTCTGTTTTTGAGATACTAAAGTGCGCTTCTCTCTCATCAATCTACATTGTTAAGACTAAGAGGCAACTCGCAGACAGGCTTTCAATTTAGAAGAAATTGAGAGTTATGTTCCTCTTAATTAGATCCACTTCTCGCTCTGAGCACACGCCAATAAACTCATACTCATACCATACTAGGCCTGTCTTCATCAGCTCAAGATTGCCAAATATCCTGCTTTTTTAACTATCCCGATCACAAATTATCCAGTTAATTTGCGGCTTCATCAGCCTGAAGTTGCAATTAGTGGGATATTTGGTTGAGATAATCATCTCAAGATATCTTGGGCTAGTTTGTAAAATATCCCGCTATTTGTCCGGTGCGTCTTCACCAACCCAAAGACTTGCACTATGCACAAATTAACACTGAGGAAAATATCGAGTTTCAAGTTTCAAGGTCAAGTCTAGAGCTGATGATGACCAATTGCAACTTTGGGATTATTTCCCAAATCAGAAATAGCGGGCTATTTGGCAATCTCGAGCTAATGAGGACAGGCCTTACTGGTCGGGCTGGCATGTATGAGCCAAACGTGGCGAAGCACACGATCGGCCCGCCCTGCATAGCTGTAAATCAGAGTAAGGGTGCAACTGTTGCGTGGGATCGTGTCTGGCTGGTAAGGTTGCCTGGCATTGCCGAGCAGCTGAGGCCCACATAATTTACAATTAAGTTTAATTCAGGCTTTTGTACAACGATGTTTTTTGGGTGTGTTTTGACCGCTCAAGAATGAACTCATTTGTTTTCACCTTCTGTTATGAAATATTGGATGGGAAACAGTTGTGTTGATTGAGGAACATAGCCATGCAAAATGATGTCATCTCTGTTCAGGGAACGGCTAGTTTTTGCTATGCTCATAAAAATGTATTACAAAATAAGTTACTGGTATGCAATGTTTCACTACTGTCCTATTATTAGTTGTATAACTTCCAAGCTAAACAATTCTTCATATTTTGTAGCCAAAAAGCGTTGGAATACTTCTTTCCAAATGCTTGGTAGCCATTGGTCTATTGATTATTCAAAATATTGGTAAGAATATTTAAAGAATCATACAACACGATAAAGTAAGTCTTCTCCCCAGTTATAAATTGTTTGCTCTTTTTTTAAGGGGGAGGGGTTGAATTTTTCATTAGATAACTATGTTAATGTCATATTTTGAAGTTCTTAAAGCTGGAAGATAAGATTTCATTGATGGGATACGAAATACGAAAACATGAACCAAAAATAATAATTCCCAATCATTATCATGAATTAATTATTATCCGCTGGAAAAATAATCAATAAGTATCTTAGATAATTACCAAAACAAATAATAGAAATCGATATAACAGAGCATATCTCCATATCTTTATTATCAACTTCATCACCATCATCACCATCACCATCATCATCACCATCATCATCATCATCATCATCATCGTCATCATCATCACCACCATCATCATCATCATCATCACTTTCATCATCATCATCATCATCATCACCATCAACATCATCATCACCATCAACATCATCATCACCATCACCATCACGATCATCATCATAATTTTTTTAGATCTTATGGTTGTCATGGGGATTTATTCTGTATACTTTCCTTGATTCTCTGTCTAGCCATAACAAAAGATGAGGTGCAGGAGTACTTTGGCGATGAGGATTTCTGGTGCGTCTGCGAAGCCGCTGCTGTACCGCAGCCAATCAGGACAGAGAAGGCCTATATCAGAGAAGCATGTAAGTAATATTATAATAACTAGACATGTAATACTTGTTTGGAACAAGTATAGGTGGGCGAAAATAGAGCAAAAATAAGCGATGTTACTGCTAAAAAAAACAATGTCATATAGATTTATGATGTGAACGAAATTCACCTTCCCTAGGCATAGCATGCAAATTAAGAAATTTCTAACACGGCCTTTAATCAAAATTTTCACTATGATGACGTCATCAAAATGAAAATGGTGGTGACTAAGCTTGTAGACAATTGTCTTAGCTACAACATTTGGAAATTTGGAAGAAAATCATCGATAAAGCGCTTTACAGATATTATTACACCAGTCATCAGATTCACTTATGCACAATGTGCACCATCTCCACTCCTTGAGCAGTATTCCTACCATATGGTCACTCTGAGGGCATATGGCAAGTGCTTAAACCACTCGACTCCGACGCCTCTACCATAATATACTCCATGAGGATATTTAAAAGCATTGAATAATAAAGGCAGAGTAAAAACATATTGTAGTTAAGAGAAGGCCTATAACAGACAATATACTCCTATACAACTTTCTACAACCGACATCAAACCTACCCACGAGAAGATTGTTATAAAGTGGTCCTTAGTGGGGGAGTGTTTAATAGTTGTCCCATTAAGTGAAGGAGGAAAAGCAACATATGGATAAGACCAAAAACATAGCTTAGTTGTCATCACAGTATTATGTTTATGCTGGGCTTCCCTGATCATCAGCTTCGGTAATAGTAGCCAACTAGCTGTTTCGGTAAAAGGGAAACGCTCCATAAGGATTATTGACCCAGGAAATTTCACGACATGCCTTGCATGATGGACAGGCTCGATAAATTATGAATAATCAAATTGATGAGTTGTTTCATGTACGCTTGGGCAGCTAGATGGATTGTTTCCACTACCCATTAGTCATTGAGAAACCTGTGTACATACTCGCCAGAATTTGATTTGCTTCCTAATTTGCCCTTTTAACATCGCACTCTACCATGGATAAAAGAGAACGTCGGATACTCCGGCTGATATTCTTATCCCTTCATTTGTTCATTCAAATTTTCTTGAGTAGTTTTTTTTTCCACGAGAGTGTCATGAGATATTTATGACTTCTTCATCATAGTTTGAATGATCAAGAAGATATTGGAAGAGATATTAATCGGTGGCCGAGATTATTCTCATCTTGAAATAGTGTTATGGATCATTCCATGAATTTGGGGCAAAAAATATGACAGTGTCCATTAGTATGAGATCTTCTACTACACATGGAAGATGAAATTATCTGTTGAAGATTTTTATGCAATGAATATACATGTAGCAGTGCCCTATCAGAATCGTTCCTGTTTCAGTTGCTTTTCTTCAAAATCTTTGCTTGATACACATTTCTCTTTTTACCAGCGTTACATGGACACCATATTCATATAACATTACATAAACTTTGGGTCCATAATATTGATCCACCATGAAGCTTGAGTACTTCTGAAGATAGTTGGCTATGCTTTTTATGCTACACTCAAGACATTGTTGTAGTTGATAGGAGACATATTTTCTCACTTCTGGTTTGTCACAAAAATTGCCCCAACTTTGTGGAATGACCTTTATGATTTGTTTAGAGCGAAAAGGATTGTTGTAAAGATGTAAAAAAAAACACAAACTGGTATCAGGGGACTTTACTACCATGATACAGCATCGAGTGACACGCCTTCTTGATGTAAGCTCTGTGTCTACATCGCTAATGATGATGTACATGTAGTCTAATGTACTCTGTACTTTTTCGTGACTTGTATGGACTTTTTTCATCAAGCCCAGAACCCTGAGGTTAAAGGCTATTTCCAGTAATTTTTTTCTCTGTAATATATTTCTCCTCTTGTTAATCAGAAGAAATAAATGTTTGCAGATGTGTTGTATTATTAGTGACCTTTTAAAACCAGTATGTACATTGACACTGATCAATAAGAAAGGCATGAGGTAAACGTGTTAGATTGGTTGAATATAAGATTAAGTTTGAAACTCGATTGCATTAAGCAACGCAAAGTGTAACATGGGAAATAAGGAATAGTTTATATTTATTGCCCCCCCCCCTTTTCCCTTCTCCCCCTCTCTGATAAAAATAAATATTTCTCTTACAAAATTGTAGGTATATAAATGGCAACGTCGTGACATTTCAAAACTTTTTTTTCCTCCATCAATTTCAAGACCACTCTTCTTGTCTCTCTTGGGTGGTCTTTAAAGACAGGTTTCACTGTACAATGTGGCACAGGGGGATTATTTGTGTGGCATACAAAGGGTTAACCAGGGCAGTGAAGGCATGTCTCTGATCATTGGAGATCAAACGGGTTACGCTTAAAGCCCCACTGTCCTACTTGTAGCTACTTGCTCCCTCTATATAGAAAACTTCCCCAATCGGTGCCTGTTGGTCCCCCATGATCCTCTTTTTCTTATGTTAGTTGAGAGCTGAGTTAATGAGATAGCCACCTGTCAGTGACCTCGCCGTGTGGTCTAATCCCTTCTGGCCCAGTAGTATTGATGGTCTTTAAAGTCCCAGACACAGTCTTAGTCCCATCTATGCAATAACATGTTCACATCTACCTCAGATGTTAGGAGTGTGGAATTCATCATGGAAGTGATAATTTAAAGGGTTAAGAGACAATATAATAACCAAACAGATTGCTGCTAAGTTTCCTAACTTTTATATTGAATTGGTGATCCTGCATTTGCTCTGGCAACTTTTGCCCCTGGCCTTTTGTTACCAAACTTTATTTTGACCCATCATTATCCAATCCTATTTTTTTTTTTTTAATGGTGAAAGTTATCTCTATTTAGACTTATAGTAATCATTCTCCAAATGTTGATAGATGTATATACTTGTTAGTACCTAAATTGTTTTCATGGATATTACAAAGGCCATTGGCCAAATTCTAAACCCTCAAAATTATCCCTAGTGATGCAATCAGTCTCAAGATCGAGATAAATTTAATCTCATTATGGTCATAATTGTTTTATTTAGACTTTGTAGTGGTCATTGGCCATCTGTTTAGGACCATTTTCAAGAAGGTTGGTCACTTTCTTACTTTCTTTCTAAGAAGCTAACTACTATTGTCCATCGGTATTGCTTATTTGATCCAGTGAGATAAATTGGTCTGGAAATCGCTATCTATTTGAATAGGAGCAATTATTCAATTATGCCTATTCTGGCCTTGTGTCTTGTACCTTATTGCAATTTCAATCGACCTTTTCTCCCGAGCTAACCCCCACCAACAATGAAGCATTTGATGGATAAAGCCATTGAGAGAGACATTATGAAGTAGTTTATGACCATGGACAGGCCACCAGAAGTAATATCCTGAAGCCATTTGAATATTCAAACATCCATCTGTTAGACCCACAAGCTAGGAAGCCTGAATGTCCTGCACCAGTATGTGCGATTATCTGTAATTTTTCATATACATGTGCCCCCTTAATTTCCATAATCGCCTTGCCCAATAGAGTCTCAAAATGGATTGATTTTCAGGAACGAGTTATGTCTTAAAGCTCAAAATGTTTTTCTGCTTGCTATTCCCCAATTTAATTTATCTCATCTGTGAGCTCATTTGTGATCGAAGAAGATGCGAAACCTTGCCTCATCAATCTGGATTTTGTATTCCTGCATTGCAAATTTTTAGACTTCTTGATAATTCCCTTGTGCCTACTTATGCCTCTGGCAAATGGGATGTCCATTTTAGGATCCTTAACATTTGCATTTTTTGCCAATTAGCTGGCCGACATACGGGGGAACACAGCTGATTGCCGAATCTAAGCTCCAGTGCCTATGACTATGACTTGCCTAATTGATACAAATGGCCTTTTACAGTTTGAATATACTCTGAATCAGAGTTTTATTTCATGTATCTGTTTTAATAAGTCCATGGTTTCATATTTCTAATGTCATCTTGCTTTAGGGTCCCAGTGTATCCTTGTGATTGTCTAATCGGTAAGTGATTGTACGGGTGTTTCCATGCGACCAGGCTTTCATTGAATTTCCCACTGAAGTTTTTGAGATGTACCGAAAGCCTATTGCCATCAAAATTAGAATTTAATTGTTTCATGGAAAAGTGACATTTCAATCAATTATTGTTTAAGCGTGATGAATGTCTTGCATCAATGGCAAAAAGCTTACCTGATACATCGCAAGGTAGCTTTATTGATTTTGCATTTGCTCTCTGTTTGTTATAATTATACCAAGGGGTCCAACTTGTTACCCACATAAACACTGCTTCATTTTGTATACCTCTTTTAGTTGTTCCGTATTTGTTACTGCATGAATTGCTCAATCATCCTGCAATAGCTAGTGATTATATACAACTCGAAATGAATTAACTACCAGAAATTTGGTTTAAATAAATTGACTCTTTTTTCATCACTACTACCAGTAGTTCCAAAGCACAAATATATTTGAGATACATAGACGTTGAAATTGAAGGCTGTGCATATTTGTAAAATTGGCAGGATTCAAACAATATAATCAAATAAATGCAGTCATGAAACAATTATAACAATAGTAATAAAAGGCAACATATTCCCCTTGATATCTAATGCTCAAGGCATAATTGTGCAAAAGATCATCTCAGATGAATGCACAAACACAAAAATACAACACAAGTAGGATAGAACATAAGAAAAAGAAAGCAGAAAATATTTCCAGGTCAAATCAAACAGATATATTTGTAGATTTATTAGTTTGTCTCATGCAGTAACATTTTCAGCAAATCTTGAGAATATATCAGGAACATGACAATACAAAGAAAAAAGGTTGTCATAGAATTTATTTTTGAAGTCCATTGAACATATCCAGGTTTGGGGGGCATGCGTTGCCATAGTGCTAAGTGAATGTGCGCTGCGTTGAGAACTAGGTTTTATGGTCAATTTCCCAAAATTAATTACACTTGCAGTGGGATACTGAATCTCTCGTGACATTCAACTGGACTAGTCTAACTCTGCAAACTTTCTTCTCAAGATTAAA